GGGGAGGGGGTGGGCATGCAGCGGTGTTTATCGTGGGCATTTTTTCGCAGACAGACAGACAGACAGTCGGTGACAGTTGATGCGACGTGATACGTTGGGTCGCTTCTTGATCATGGTGCGGTGTTGAGTCACTCGTTGCATGGGAATTCGTTCACGGTGCGTGCCTTGTATAGAGGGGAGGGACTCATGACATGAAGCTATGAGGCTGTTTTAAAACGACCAAACATTCAACGTCGAGAATCGTTCACTGGCTCCAGCTCGCAGACTGCGGTCCTGTCGTCAAAGATCTGGTTCTCGTCGCAGTCCTACTCCGCCCTCTCACTCTCAGACACGTAAGGGACGGCATGGCACATTTGACCAACCATGCAGGACGCCACATGGATCTATCTGCCGTCATGCACCGACGGTCGCTGTATCTGCCTGTCTGCCTGTGTGCAGGATGCCTCGTGAGCGCACCTACATCATGGTCAAGCCCGACGGCGTCCAGCGGGGCCTGGTTGGCGAGATCATCAAGCGCTTCGAGCAGCGGGGCTTCAAGCTGGTGGCCATGAAGATGAAGGCCGCCTCGCCGGAGCTCCTGCAGCAGCACTACGCAGATCTCTCCAGCAAGCCCTTCTTCCCGGGCCTCATCGCCTACGTGGGCTCAGGGCCCGTCGTCTGCATGGTCTGGGAGGGCACTGACGTAAGCACCAACACAACACGAAGCAGTCGTCACCACACCGCTTAGCACCTATACATCGACCGCACTTCACCCCTCTCGCATGTGCGTGCGTGTGTGTGTATGTGTGTGCAGGTGGTCAAGACGGGTCGCAAGATGCTGGGTGAGACCAAGCCGCTGGAGAGCAACCCCGGGACCATCCGCGGCGATTACTGCATCGACGTGGGCCGCAACATCATCCACGGCAGCGACTCGGTGGACTCGGCCAACAAGGAGATCAACCTGTGGTTCACGCCAGAGGAAATCTGCGAGTGGCGCAGCATGGAGGAGCCCTGGGTCTACGAGAAGGCAGCCGACTAGGCCGACACACAGCTTTTAACGCACTTGGGGATGAATGAGGGGCGGGGCGTTTTTTGATCTTGATTGATGAAGGAAGACCGAATTAGGCGTGAGGTGCGGTGCTTCTGTGACGAGGTTCAACGCTTTCTGGGATGCATGTCAGTCAGTCAGTCATGTGTGCGCGGTGCGTGGCCCGTCTTCCATGCTGCACTGCAATGAGTGAGCATGTGAGGGGCGGCGAGGCGAAGTGCTGACAAATCAGTTTTCCTGACCGCTTTGGGTGTGTTCCGTGTGCAACGGTGCCGTGAATTTCCGTGTGAGATGCTCGACTGCGACGCGGACAGAGCCCCTGTAGCAGTTAGTTCTCGGGTGGAGCGATGACTCCCCTTGCCATTCGAGAGGTGAGGGCGGGTGGTCGTTGCCCCAGGGGATGGATGGCTGACGCAGGGCTCTGCGTGCGTCTCTGGTGTCGCTTCATTCATGTGCTTTATGGGGACCTGTGTGGTCGCGTGTCGACCGAGCAAGAGCGCCACACTGTGCCACTGACCAGTTGAGTTGCTGACACCACACCCGAGGCTGTCCAGCCGCGGTCAGCTGGGCTTCCTTCGGTGGGGTGGCGGTAGTGGAACTGGCCGGTGGCTGCATGTGGTTCTTGTGAGGGTGAAGGGACGATGTGTTGTTGTGCTGAGAGAACTCGAGCACACGTGAGATGAACGGGAATGGTGTCTTTCGCGTCCATTCCGACAAATACCCACACGCACACGCACACGCACGATCGAACAAATATCGTCTCCTGATGGCATGAACCATACCATCACACGGGGACAAGACATCAGTCTGATCCCCAGTCGTCCCCTAAAACAGAGAGCGGCTCGCAACACCACAACGCCATCACACGCCACACGCATAAACACAACAAGCAGCATTGTCCCTCCCTCTCTCTGTGCACCACCAAGCCCGCACCCCTCCCTGCCCTGCTGTCTCTCTGTCTAAGTCTCCGACATGTGTGTGTTGCCCGAGTGCTCGGTCACCGACCGCGGCGCGGGTGGTTTGCGCTCCAGGTCGGTGGGTGAGCTCCGGGCCGATGTGGCGTGCGAGAGGTGTGGGTTGAGGTTGCGGAAGAAGCTGGTGGGCGTCTCGCGTGGGTAGGGGACCGACCCGATGTTGCAGTAGGCGCTAAAGAGCCCCTCGTCGGGGGTCTGCCACTCCAACACTGCCGCGTCCAGCTCCTCCCAACGGTCCACGAAGCGGAGGTCCTGCGCGTGCACCTGACGATGACGCCTGCACGGACAGACGACCACGCAGGGAGAGGGATATAGATGGATGGGGTGACGTATCCCTCCCATGTCCACTGCCGACCGACCGTCTTGGTATGGCCTCTTTGAAGTTGACGGACGAGTGTGGCTGCGACATGATCTCGTCGAAGGACGTCAGGCCCTCCGGTGGGTGCAGGTACGCCAAGGGCAGACGCACATTCGGCGGCACACCTGCACACAGACAGACAGACAGACAGAGACATAATAGCAACGGTTGAGACCAACGCATGCTCACGCCCGGCGTGTGTGCCAGCCAAGCCAGTATGCTCACATGTGACGGCTGGCACATCCACGTGCACATCTGGGTTGGGGATGTGCGGCGGAGCACACAGGGCGCACGCGTCGATGAAGGACCAGCGACTCCTCGACGTCATGGGAGCAGACACGTCCTCGATGACGTCATAGCCCTCATGGGGGTGGCCGCCATCTCTGGGGTGTGGAGGCGAGACGCGAGACCCTTCCTGCACACGGAGGGGCGAGCATGGACAGATAGTGGGGTCTGGGTGTGTCTGTGTGTAGGTTTCCTTCCACCCACTTACCTGCAGGAGTGCGTCTTTGGTCGGGTAGAGGTCCAGCTCCCAGATGTGGCGGCCCTGCGCAACGCACACCAACGGGAGAGCATACACACGTCCATCACGAGTTCCATCCATGAATAGAATAGCGACAGGCAGGCAGGCAGCACAACAAAAACGATAGATCTGATGGATCATTCCGACCGACCGACCTTTGGCCTGGGGATGAACTTGCCGCAGAAGAGATCCACGGCCCTCTGCTTCTCAAGGTCACTAAACACATTCGATATGTACCTGAATACACACACACACACACACACACGCCCTCTCTCTCCAGTCCACGCACACACATCCATCCATCCATCCATCAAGCCCTCGTCTCACCTCCTGACAGCAATCAGGGCGTTGGATCTCGTCTGCGACTTCCACTGCCCAGGCTCGCTCTCCTCCAGCTGCGGCCGATGCAACGCCGCACTGCCGCCATACTGATGGGCCAAGGGGTCGCCGATGGAGCCCCACAAGTCCATCAACAGAGATAGCAGGGGGGCGGGGAGGGGGGAGAACTCTGACCCCAGAACTGCAGAAGATTGTGAGAGAGAGGAGAGAGAGATGGATGGATGGATGGATCGATGTGTGTGCAGCACCTACCGTCCTCGTCTTGGTCGTGTTCCTCGGGGGATGGGAGGCACCCCATGGCCATCAGCTGACGATACAGAGCCTCTTGTGCAATCTGAAGGCAGGCAGGCAGGACACATTGCTCTGTACCCGATTTGGGCGTGTGTGTGTGTGTGTGTCTGACTTACAGCGAACATGCCGATGTTTGTGCGGTCAAGACAATCGATGCAGTTGACACGAGGGACACCCTCCTGCAGTGCAGAGCAGCCAGCCACACACACCCAATCCACACACATATACCCTCCCTCCCTCCATGCCATTCGTACAGACACACCTGCACACACAACACACCTGTGCATATGTGACCCTGGCGCCGTACTCGACGTGGTCGAGGAAGAAGCCGTTCATATCCACAATGGCCGCAGCCCACTCAAACAGCAGCTTCAGCGCACCGTCCGTCCCGGAATCCTTCTGCTGACCAAGCCAGTCAAACGCCAAATACTTGACCTCTCGACACACATGAGCAGCCGCCCCCTCACACACGCCACCGCCACCGCCGTCACCCTCTGTCGCTCCCGGAGTAGCGGCAGCAGCAGTGGCGGCCGTTTGGAACTGCGAGTTGAGGTGCCTCGGCGACTGGAAAGACGATACGGGTGTCCTGGTGCTGAGAGTGAGGGGTGGGGAGGGGGGGAGGGGTGTGGGTGTGGGGGTGGGGCTGCTGCCGCCCGGTGATGGAGCGACAGCTGTGGCGGCGGCGTCCTCTTGGTGCCAGAGGGACTGCACGTGGGCGATGGCGCCCTCAAATGCACGCGCCAGGGGCACCTCCTTGTGCGTCTCGGGATTGTCCCGCACCAGATTTAGCACCACGATGGGAGAGCCATACCTGACGGAACCGAGATAAAAGAGAGCGATGACGGTCCTTCCTTGTTTCGACAGGAGTGCATTTGCTTGCAGACCGCTTGGTGAGGTCGTCGAAGTGGAGTTTGGTGCTGTTGAGGGACGGATCGACCTCCGAATGGAGCACCAAATCAGGCTTGGGCGATACCTGTAGAGACGAAATCAGCACATGAAGCCTTCTTTCTTTCCTTCTTCCCTCTCGCTGCATTGGTTCGTCTGCCCACCGACCGACCGTACCGTGTTGATATGTCCCCAGAAGAGCGGAATGGACCCCCTCAGCTGCACAATGGACGCCACTCCCCGAATGCCCCTCCCCACCCTCGCCGTGCTGGCCGCATCCTCCACCACCAGCTGCTCGCACTCTACCTCATTCGCCACCCTACCAGCCCCATTCACGCCGCGCTTGAAGTATCGCGGCCCCACGTGGAAGCGCGACCGCCGAGCAATCAGCGTGATGGAGAATAGCCGCTGGCCGATGGCGAGAAATCGCTGCTCGACGGCGCCTTGGATGGCAGGCAGCGCCCAGTGGGAAGCGGGGTGGGGTGAGGGGACGGGTGCCGAGGCAGCGGGTTTCAGCGCATCGATCAACGGCCTGATTGGAGAAGACACATGCACATTCCGACCGTCGTGGATGGATGCGTGTGCGTGTGCATGTGTGGGTGTTTTTCTCGCTCCACTGACCGCAGCAGGAAGGCGTTGGTCACGAACCGGCCGTTGCAAATGTGCCCCCCGTTCCCTGATGCATCTCTCGGAGGCACCGTCCTCGGTGTGGGCGCACTCTTCAGCACCCTTGGCCGCAGTATCGACCTTCTCGGACCAAGGCCAGACGCCGTGCTCACACCAGCGCTTTCGAGCAGCACGTGAGACGGCGACGGCAGATGGCTCAGAAGAAATGAGTGACGTGCCGGGCCGGGAAAAGGGGAAGGGGAGGCGGACGGGAGCTCGCGCCCATGGAGGGGGGAGGGGCTGGGGAAAGGCAGTCGGCGTGCGCAACGGCTGTCTTTCCTGTCGGGTGAGAAAGACCGAGTGGAAGCAAACGTCGCCCCGAAGGAGAGATTGCCGTCCCTGGTGTGGCGCGCCGTCTCCCCATCTCTATCACGATCTCGATCACGGTCACCCTTGCAGGCGCTGCGTCGTTTCCTCTCCCCGCGTGCGGATGTGCGGGAGGCGACGGGCTGCGCCGTGGGGTCTAGGAGGGAGGTCTGGTCCTGCACGCACCTCGTGAGGTCCCATGTGTATGAGAAGAAGAAGGTGTCGAAGAGCACCTGCTGGAACAGCTGCTTGTACCGCACCTCGTCTGCACTTCGGGTGCCGCGCTCGCGACGCAGACGGGCAGCGACCTGGTGGACGAATTGGAAAGATGATCAGACAGACAGGCAGACCTTCTGGTGCATCCACACATACCTCAGGCTTCAGGCAGCTGATGAGGCTGACTTTGTCGACGGCGAAGACCAGCCGGCCGCCTATGTTGGCGACGCGATGCTTCTCGGTCACCAGCACCAGATAATACCCCTCCAAGAACCTGACATCCAATCGCAGTCGCACACAGTCTTTTCTGTCACGCCTGTCTTGCTTGTTTCTTTGCAATGAGTCGTGTGCCCACCTGATGAATCCCAAGATGCCATCGGCACGCTGCACAGTGGCGCCCGACTTGATGAGCCGCCCAGTGAGCTCTGCTGCCGCATCGGCATCAATGGCCGCTTCTTCAAGGGCCAAGCTGATGACGGCCTTGTCAATTGTCAGCTTCCTGAAGCCTCCGCCCTCGTTTTGGCGTCCCAATAGATAGAGCCGCTCAGGCGTTTCATAGAGGTGGATGCTCGTGCATAAGCTGCTTGCTTCCATCAATACAGTACCGATGTAATGATGATGGTCACTCCTGCAGTCTCGAAACCGTCTCGCTAACTCGGTGGTTCTTCAAGCTCGCATTGAGCTCGCCACAATGCAGAGCCTTTCGAGCTCTTCTTGAGCGTGGCTGCGCCCTCCCCCTCTCCAGCACACCACGGGGCGAGGAGGGCCACCCAGTTAGTGTTTTCTGGCCGGCCGCGGCATGCGTTTCTGCCGCCATCCGCTCTCGTAAGGCCGGCTGCAAAACAGTGGACGCCATGGAGCTGTAGCGGCTGTTTCCGGCAGCCCCCTCTCGTTGCATTCTTTCCGTGAGTTTGGAGCGTGATAAGATAATGTACCAGGGGCGGCAGGGTTACCCATCGGAGGAGGTGGAGGGCATGTTCACGTCTCGGGATTGCCGTGAGGTGGGGTTCCAGTTCCTCACCCAGTTTTTCCACACTCTTCAGCGCCGCCCCCATCACCTGCATAAGTTCTTCAAAGGTGCGCACCTGCAGGAGGAGGATGGGTGTGTGGACCCAGCTGCACGTGGCTGTGTTGTGTGCTGCGACTGTGCGTCAGATAATTCGGTGATGGTCTGGACGCGCGAGGCCAGCGACGACCCTCCGGCGACCCCTTCGCCGGCACGAGGCAAGGCGGCCATCAGCCAGTCCATCAAGAGCCACTCCATCCTGTCGCGCTGCTGCCGTGCCAAGATATCCACCGTCGACTTCCACAAACACACCCACCACGCGTCGACGGCCAGTGGAGAGGAGGAGGGGGAGGAGGACCAGCACCCCCTCCCGGCCGGCATCGAGCACGTGGTGGTGTTCTGCATGGGTTGGCTGTGGTTGCCGCCCAAGAGCAGCACCACCACCACAACGCTGCAGTCCAACGGCTCCGACCGCACGTACCAGCGGTTCTGCCAGACCTTCTACCTCAGCCCCGAGCAGCTCCCTGACTACCTCAGCTACTACGTCAAACACTCCCACTTCTGCGAGTTCGCCGACGCCAGTGGCCCACAGGACGACCACATCACGGGAGCCGATAGCAAGAAGCTCTTCCTCACCAAGGCCCTGCAGCAGGAGGCTGGCGAGCTGGACGAGCCGAAGAAGGGGGCCAAGGGCGAGGGGCAGCAGCAGGAGGGGCAGGGGGAGGGGCATGAGGGGCGGCGGAAGCTGCCGGATGACTATATCGAGGGCTGGATGGGCGGGCCGCTCCGGGACGGTTTCCACATACCGTTCCACGAACCCCACTACGATAGTCAGGAGGAGGGGGGCAACCATAACGAGACGCAGGAGCGGGGCGAGGACGTCAAGGTGGGGACCAGCGCCATCACACCCGCACCCAAATCTGTCGTCAACCACCCCCGTAAGCTAAGCTGCCACACACGCCCGCAACACACACACACGTATCACACACATGCGCTCCTTCATCTGTCACATTCATTTATGGGGGTCTTGTTTGTGCGTCTCCCTCTTTCCTCAGCAGCAGCAGCGGCTGCTCAGCGCAGCTCGTATCGCGCCGCGTTGGAGGCTCCCCACCGCCACCAGAGCCCCAATCCCATCCGCCCCAACACCAGCAACCAGCAGCAGCAGCAGCGTAACCGTACCAGGGACGATATCAACGTCCGCCAGGGCGGTCAGTACCGCGGCGGCCCTGATGCCAGTGGAGGATATGGGCGCACCGGCGGCGGCGGCATGGGTGCGGGGGCGGGGGCGGGGGCGGGGGCGGGTGCTGGTGGTGGGCGGGGTGAGCAGACGCTGTGGGTGTCGGGGCTGGATAATCTGGACGACAAGCAGCTGCAGAAGGAGTATGCCGTTCTCCAGGAGCAGCACGGGGGCGGTGGCGGTGGGGGTGGCGGGGAGATGCTCATCCTGCGGCATAAGGGCAGCGCGGGCTTCCTCTGGTTCGCGCGCAAGGCGGATGCACGGCTGGTGATGCATCGCGGCCTCCCATCCCTCGCCGCCAAAAGCTGCAGGATCGACTGGAAGATCGGCGGAGACTACGATTTCGACTTCAATCCCAAGCGCAAACCCAAGAACCAGCACCAGCACCAGCACCACAACACACACCAGCACCCCAGTACACAGCAGCAGCAGCAGGAGGGCCTCGCCAGCGATCCCCCGACCACCCAGATCCATCAGCAGCACCAGCACCAGCAGCAGCAGCAGCAGGCGCCGTCGCCCGGCACACAGCAGAAGGGGCGGCGCGCGAACGTGACTAAGGGAGAGCCACGCAACAAGCGACAGGCCCGTGACGCGGAATAAAGAAATAGATATGACGGGTGAGAAGAATGAACCACGGCACCAACACCCACACATGGAAGGACTAGATCACCTTCGTGTGTGTGTGTGTGTGTGTCTTTGTGTGTGTTCAGGAATGTCCATCGATTGCGTCGGAGGGGGGGGAGGGAGGGAGGGAGAGTGAGAGGGTTCCTTTCAATCAATCGACACACACACTTCATACCATAGACCCACCCGTTCATTTCACCCAAACATATATGGGGTGGTGCGGTGCGGTGCGGTGTCTGGCTGGCTGAGTGGCTGATGTGGCCGGTATGTATGGTTGACACGACATGATGCGCCTGTGTGGTTGATCGATGGATTGATTGATTGATGGGCGGGTTGGTGCGTGGATTTTGTATGTATGTGGGTTGGCTGGCTGCCCGTGTATTTGGTGTTGTGTGTGTGAATAGCTGTTGGCTGGCCTGCCTGCCTGCCTGCCTGGATGGATGCGCTGATGGATGGATGGATTGATGCACTGATGGATGGATGGATGGGACGGGACGGGATGGCGGACTGCATGCCTGGGGGAGGGGGAGGGGGGACTTGTAGAGCTAGGATTGATTGACCGACCGACTGCCCGACCGGCAATGAGTGACGCTTTACCATTTTGACCACACACCCACCCTATATATGATGATGTAGCGATTGGCAGACAGACCAGATGCAATGAAAGACACTCCGTTTTCGATGCTTTCACCACGCAAAGCAGAGTTGATCAGCGCATGTCGTGAGCTCACCACGCCCCAATCCACCCCACCCACCCCACCCCAACAGCCACACGAGGCAGTGTTGGAGTGTCACATGCACATGCATCCCCCTGCACGTTGATTGACATGTGCACGTAGTCTCTCCAACGCGGCTAGGTGAGCTATCTGGCAGGCAGCAGGACACACATGTGAAAAATCATAATAATCAACACACATGCATGTTAGTTATGTTGTGAAGACGGAAAAAGCGGCTGCCTGTCTGTCATCTGATCAGATCATGCACAGCAGGGTATGGGCGAAAAACCACTCACTCATTCAGACACACTCGAGGCATCAGCGAGGGAACACGCCCACACACCCACTCCCCTTAAAACACCCACACACATCCTCTCTGCACCCCCCGGGAGTGTGGCATGCGTGTGTGTGTCTGGCATAGCTATGACTGTCCGTACTCGAACCTGCCGTACTGCATGCCATAGACCTCCTCGTTCTTGTTAAGCTCCACCTTGAGGCCAGGGCCGCACACGTACGTCTGACAGGTCAGAACGTACCCCTTGTCCTTGGTGACCTCCTCCAAGCTGTCGCGATTGATGACATAGGCCTCCCCCAACTTGCCGCCCACGATGCGCCCGGCACAGCTGGTGCACACGCCGTTCCTGCAGTCGCACGGCGGGTCCTCCCACACCGTCTCGGCCGCCTCCAGCACACTCGTCCCCTCCGGCACCTCAACCGTCTCGATGTCGCCGTCATAGTTGAGCTCGATGGTCCAGGACCGAGAGGGGTCCAGCCTGCCCTCGAGATCTACAGGCACCTCCGGCACCTGCATCAGCACACTGTGCGGCCTCCTGGGGACGGCTGAGCGGCTCCTCAGCCTCTGGATGGGCGAAAGTGATGGAGAGAAGGTCTGGGGGACGAAGGCACCGACAAGTGGCAGAAGGAAGCCAAGGAGGGCAGATGCGATGATGGATGGCAGCATTGCGGCAGATGGCTTCGTTGTACTTTCGTTGGCAGACCTAAGCTTCCTGACAGGGACACGCACAGCGCACCACATCGTCGGATGAGTGGATCTTTTCGAACTTGCTTCAACCCATTCACCTCGAGCAAGAGTTGAGGTTCAAGATGAAGGTGTTTGAGGAGGAGAGAGGGAGGATCTGCGTCTCTGCAAGAAGTTAGAGCTCGCAGTGGAGGGAGAGGGGGAGAAAAACAGAAGAGTGAACTGTCCTGATGCGCGTGGTTGGAAGGCAGGGTTGAAGCGGCAATAGCGCGGACCAGACGGCATCATGTCCGCGGACGAAGGCGACAGCCACTTCTTCGCTGAGGCGAAATGCGAAGGCGAAAAGTGGGCTCAGGCATCAATCACATGAAGAACGACTGCAGCACACCATGCTGATCGTCATGATCTGTTGTTTCAGGATGCTGCCCGTGGCGAATGTGGGTCGGATCATGAAGCGGATTCTGCCGACCAACGCCAAGATAGCCAAGGACGCCAAGGAGACCATGCAGGAATGCGTCACCGAATTCATCGCATTCATCACCAGCGAGGTGCGTGCAGACAGACGTACACATGACGCTCAGAGCGGGATGCGCTCGATGGATGGATGGATGCCTGCTTGCCTGCCTGCCGTCCCTTTGTCGGTGCTGTGAGTGCAGGCGAGCGAGAAGTGTCTGCTTGAGAAGCGCAAGACGCTGGGGGGAGACGACATCATCAACGCGCTGGGCAACCTCGGCTTTGAGAAGTATCAGGAGCCGCTGCGGAAGTACCTCGACAGATACAGAGAGGTGGGTATGGTAGGCACACGACTGACGAAATATATGTAGCTTCTGTATGTCCCTGTGCTTGCCATTGTGTATATTGCTTGCCGTTCGGCACTCATTCAGCATGCTCCCGCGGAGGCTGCGGGCAAGTACATGCCAGCAGCCAGCGCAGACAGGGGTCTGGCGGGCATGGGAGGGTCGAGCTCGACCATGGGCGGCATGTTTGGGATGCACCCTTCACAAACCCAGCAACGGGCAGGGATGCCGCCCCAAGTAGGGCAGAGGGAACATCAACACACTTTCATACGTGGCTGACTTCGGGGTGTACGGTTGTGTGTGCAGTTCGCTGGCCCTCCAGGAATGCCGGGCATGCCATTCGGCGGAGCCCCTCATGGCCTGCAGGGCTTCCCAGCGGTAAGGACAAATACTTGCGAGCGAGCACATACAGGTGGACTGCATCCCATTCTCCCCTTCTCCCCTGGATGCCTCTCAGTTGCCCCAGGCGGCTCGCATCAACCCGGCAGCCTTCATGCAACACGCGGCCGTGGCTTCTCAGATGGCATCCATCCACGGCCAAGCTGGCGCACATCCCTTTGGCCCAGCCGGGGCTGCCGGTCCCCCCACTGCCAGCCCCCAGATGCACGCCCGCGGCTTTCCTTCCCTCATGAGCAGCGGCAGCGCCTCGGCGGCTGGTCTGCCGGCCGGGGGTCATCAGGATGATGGACTGCATCACGAGGACGTGGCCATCGGTGGCGCGTCTCTGATCAAGCAAGAGGACGTGCCCATCGGTGGCGCGTCTCTGATTAAGATGGACCACGAGGGAGAGGGCATACACGGCGGCCCAGGGCCAGTCATCAAGCACGACGACGACGACGACGACGACGATGATTGAGTAGCGTGATTTGTTCTTGACGAGTGCATTGCATGCGTCGTGTGCGTGCGTGCGTGCGTGGTTGTATAGAAGACGGCACGAAAGCAGCTCTGTGTGAGCTGGCTGTTATTGCTCTTGAAGACTCCTTTTTGCTCGGAGCCATGGTGACGTATTGACTTATTCATAATATATATCTGGAAAGTGAAGGCACCCACCGTGAATGCACAAACAAAGGCCATCCAACCGCTCATTGTCCACGGGCAACAGTAGCTCTTACTTACGGCCTAGAATTGCCCAAAAGCGGCCACGGCAACAAGGGGCAGTGCGCATGCTAGCGCCGGTGGGGCAGAATACCTGATGCCCCAGTTGGTATCATTCAAATCCCCCTCCGGCCCAGCAGCCGCAGCAGGATCACGCGGCGGCTCGTCAGGCGCACCGGGCCCACCCTGCCCACAACCAAAAGTATACACATACAGAAAGACAGAGTGGCGGCCTGAATGCACACCTACCGTCGGTGGCGCTTCAGGAGGATCAATGTGACCCTGTGAGTGGCCCTCGCTCTTGACCAGCCGGCCGGTTGAAGAAGCTGCGGAAGGCTGTGCTGTTTGTTGCGTCTTTGGGGCCCTCAGGAAAGACGTCTGCAGACAGGTTGGAAGAGAGCAGAGTAGTCAGCAGGGGGAATGCATATATAGACCGCTTCGTACTTTAGCCGTCTGGTTGGTCTTCTGTTGCGCCTTCTCAGCATGGATTCCTGCGTGAGCTGTAGCGTTCAGCGCCAGGCCCTCCGCCTGGGGATGTTTCGCCTCCGTTTTCACTTCGGCGTGTGGACCCTTGTCGGCGTGGTGAGCTGCAGTGGCGTGCCCTGCCGGTGTGATGGACAGATTTGCCGCCTTTGCCAGCCGTGTGATGGTGAGGGCCAGGATCACGATGAGGGGACGAAGCTGCATTGCAAAGGGCAGCGAAAGCAGCTCAGACAACGATATCGGTAGCGCTCGGTGCGTGAACTTGAGGAGGGCAAGAAAGGGGAGGGGAGGGAAGGGAGGCGGCCCCCACTAAGCTCGCACAGGCGATCCTTGGCGGATTTCGGGAATGGCGTGCGTTCAGTGGTCACCCGAGGTGAACAAAAGGGCGCCGCGGCGAGTTTGCGCGCGATTTCTCGCCCAGAGACAGTCAGACTGTCTCTTTTTCCCTTTGTCAAACGACGTCCGTGTCTTGCCATTCAATTCATCGTCATCCCTCTCTCTGCCTGCTGTTGTGCTATGCCTTTAATGTTTTCCCTCTCTTTCTATCAGCCGGCCTGCTGGTGCTACATGTACCTGACAGTTGCCTGACAGTGACGCCGCCGAGCAGCCAAACAGGAAATGGACGTGCCCGCGCGGTGCCTCGCCGAGCTGCCGCGACGAATTCTTCTCGTGCGTGCCGACCTCCCGCCTAGCCTCTCCCGCGCACGCACGGCCTTATTTCCCACAAGCCACGCAGGAACGAACGCATTTCTTTTTTTTTCCTCTGTGGTTTGTTCCGGCAGAAAAAACGCTGGTGCGTCCGCGGCTGTGCATTCGCTGTCTCCCTGCATTCGCCGGCGTGTCTCTCTTCCTTTCAGCGACCTGTACGGTGAGGAAGACACAGCCGCACAGACGCCACGGGGTAAGGAAAGGACGCCGGATGTGTCTGTCGTGTTGTGTGCAGACAGTCATCACGGTGAGGTGTTTAGAGGTGTTGCGCCGGTGGGTGGAACGGCGTATGTTGTTGAAGTTGCTGTGTGCCGAACACACACCGTGGTCAGAAGGATCAATCTCTGCCGTACAAGCCTTTACGCAAGGCACGCAACGCACGAGTCCATCATGGGCATGGCCAGCCCGCCAAGCAAGACACGCACGAGAGCTGCCAACGCTCACCGAAGATGCACGAAATAGAAAGACATGTCTGCAAGCTAAGCACAAACCCTGCTATCAAAACCCAACATATGTCATTCGCCACTTGGTATGTCGGTCGCAAGGAAACGAGCGGGTTGCGACAAGTTTGCGCGCGATTTCTCGCCCAGAGACAGTCAGACTGTCTCTTTTCTCCTTTTTGTTGTCAAGAATAATTTGTTTGTAGTTGGCCATATCACATTCATCGTCACCCCTTCTCTGCCTGCCGTTGTGCTATGCGTTAAATCTCTTCCCCCCTCTCCCTTTCAGTCGGCCTGCCCGTGTTACGTGACTGACAGCGTGACGCCGACTGAGCAAAGGTGCCGCCTGATACACACAAACACAAAGGAGAGGTCAGTTTGAATGGATGGATGGATGGATGGATGTGTGGCTGGTGTAACGAATGCTCTCACGCAGAAGTCGAGGATCGTCGCCGCCCGCCGTCGCCTCGGCCGGTCTCCAAGACTCAGGTGCGGATCAAGACACAAGTGCCATCAACCGACACGCCGACCGACTCGCCTCAATCGCAGGATGTCTGCCGTCGCCGCAGCCCAAGATGCCCGGCGGTGAGAAAGGTGCCATGACTTCCTGCAGACTCGGGAACACAGAACACGATTCGTCAGTTGTCTGGCTGCTTTCGGTGTGTATGCCCATCAGGTCTGACGTTACTGCCGTCCCATGGTGCCGTCCCATGGTGCTGTTTCGTCCAGTGCTGCCGGAGAGGGATGCGGAGGACGCAAAAGAGACGATGAATGGCTTCACACACGGCATCTCTCCGTGTACGTGAGCTCAGCTCTGGGCCAGTCCGGTCCATTCGTCGCGTCTACGGTACACAAAGACATAGACACAGCCTCGCACACACCCAGGAACCAATTCATGTGTGTGTGTGTGCCATTGGTTGTTTTGCAGGGCCGCGCTGGCGGCGATGCGTTTGCAGCCGTTCTGTCGGAGCTTGACCGTCAGCTTGTTTTCCCTTCAGCAAAGTGGACCGGCTGTGCAGAAACACTACCTCACTCTCGCGTAGGCATTAGCAAAGAAGGAAGCAGGACAGCAGCACAGGTGCGGTGCGTCTGTGGTGTGTCTGTGCTGCATGTGTGTGTATAGGGCTCCTTCGATCCCACCAGCAGGAGCTGTTCGGGCCGGGGCCCGTGTCGCAGCAGCTGCAGCGACAGATCGTCGACCGCCTCATGCGCATCTGACGCATATGGAATCAGTTGCAGCAGGTAGGTAGGTATGTAGGCATAGACCACCTGCTGCAAGGCCTTGCCGATCGGGATGTGCAGGAGAACCTCTTGCGGCAGCGAGCCGACGCCATCCTTCACCGAGGCGGCCGCAAGCACCGACACCTGAACCACATATACTACACATACGCGCACAGATTCACCCTTCTGATCAAAAAATGCCCGTCTGTCGTTGATAGGAATGAGTTACGCCACCATTTCCAAGGTGCTCGACAGCTGTCGCGGCCCGCCTTGACATCAGTGAGACGGAGCTGAGCGACTTATTCGCCGCCATTCCCGCCGAGGTGAGAAGGGAAGGCCTTTCTTTCTACTCACAAACATAGATTAGATGGAGTGGGGGCATGACGCGCAGTGCCGTGCCATGCGCTGCATTTTGTCTGCCTGCACCGGGGTTAGGGGGCGATGGGTGTGGTCCACTGCACTACTGCATGGCGTCCTGATGCTCATGCCGATGATGTCTCTGTCTCTGTGTTTGTGTGCAGGTGCGGGTGGACGAGGAGGAGGCCCTGCATGCCGTCGACCGGGCGGCCGCGGACGCCTACATCGACCTCGAGGAACGCGCCGCCGAGGAGGACTGGCGCCGCTTCCAGGGGAGTACAGAACCACACACGCACAACACTCACTACATCTCTCCCCCTCTGTGTGTGTGCTGTGTGCAGTGAGGAGGAGGCCGCCCTGTTGGAGGAGGAGGCCGCCAAGTTCGGCGCCACCAACCTCACTACGGGCCCCGCCCAGGACCACTATGCCTTCCCCGGGCCGCAGGCCATCGGTAGGCACACACAGACCGACCGACAGAGAGGCAGACAGAGAGAGGGAGCTGGGAGGGGGGACAATACACACACCCACACCCACACACCCACACACACATGCATCCCCTCCTCTCTCTCCCTGTCTGTGTGTCTGTCTGTGTGGTTGGCTCCTGTGGTCCGCTCCCTTCCTCAGCCCTGCCCCACAACAACTACCATCCTCCACCTGCCGTGTGTGGTGTGCCCAACTTGGCCCTGCCTGTGCTGCCGGCGTTTTATGTGCCGCCCCTGGGCCCCGTGGAGATGTTCAAGTTCACCTCGACGCCCATGTGTGACGTGCCCTGGGCGGTGCGGCCGACGCTGCTGGCGGCACGGGCTGTGCAGCGGCTGCGGGAGGGCCACCCCAAAGCGATGGTCGACAGGTGGTTCTGGCAGGAGATGAGCCAGGCCATCGGGCTGCCCTGACCCGTAAGTGGTGAGTGTTTGAGGGGGATGAGGTGGTCACAGAGAGAGAGAGGGAGAGGGAGGGAGAGGGAGAGCGGGTCAGCTGTGCTCATGGTCTCCTCTCTGTCTGTCTGTCTGTCTGTCTGATGTGCTGTGCTGTGCTGTGCTGTGTGCAGGTGGGGCTGTAAATCCCTGTAGCTCGGTGGCCGGTGTTTTGTTGCATTGCTGCTGCTGCTGGTGGTGTTGGACTGCCTGCGGTGCCGCGCCCCTCAGCCGAGCCCATTGCCTCCTTAATGTGTCGGCTGCCGCTCTCGTCGGGGTGGCTGTGGGGATAGGAGGCGATGGGTGGGTGAATGAGCAGAAAGCAGTGCATCCATCCATGCATCCAATATGTCAACCAACAGGTTTCTTTCTGTTTGGCCTCAGAAATCGCTGGCTACATTTTATATCCGATTGGCCCATGACAATCCCTCCAACCGCATTGCCGTCCCCCGCCATCCATGTGGGCATCGAAGGTGAGCTGTCAAACAGACTGATCAACTCCCGTCTACGTGTCTCGTGTCCGCCTTTGTGGTACTGTACAGATCGACCGCCGTCTCCACCTTGCATCCCCGATGGACCTACTCAATCCATATCGATCTGCGCCCGGCGGCCTGCCAGGTACGTACGTACGTGAGGGAGAAAGGAAGACGCTAAAGGCACTTCATCGTGTCTCTTCTCTTTTCTCTGTGTGTTTCCGCATATTTGGCCGCTTCGGCGGCCATGGAGAGACGTCCTGGGCAGTTGGCCAAGCTGCAGGACGACGATGGACCCCCACGACCAACCGGCGCGTCTAATGGACACGTCCATCTGTCCACCACAACGCACTTGTGGATGTGAGGGACGAACACAAAGTTTTGGGGATTCCCGCGCTCACTACATCTCTCCCCCCCTGTGTGTGTGCAGTGCTGGAGCGGAAACTGTTGGAGGAGGAGGCCGCCAAGTTCGGCGCCGCCATCACCTTCACTACGGGTGCCGCCCAGGACCACTATTCTTTCCCCGGGCCGCAGGCCATCGGTAGGCACACACACACAGACAGAGAGGCAGACAGAGAGAGAGGGAGCTGGGAGGGGGGACAATACACACACACACACACACACGCACATGCATCCCCTTCTCTCTGTCTCTGTCTGTCTGTGTCTGTGTGGTTGGCTACTTTGCTCATGCAGCCCTGCCCCAGAACAACTACAGCACCATCCGCCACCTGCCGTGTGTGGCGTGCCTAAGATGGCCCTGCCTGTGCTGCCGGCGTGTTACGTGCCGCCCCTGGGCACTGTGGAGATGTTCAAGTTCACCTCGACGCAGTTTCCAGAGGCAGCGAAAAGTGAGGTCCGCGGTGTTTGCTGCAGCCCTCTTGTTATTGTCGATATCGCTGCCCCCCACACACCATGAGCGCACCCCATTTGCGCCGCTTTATCGCCGCCGCCAAGTCCGACCCGTCGATGAGCGACGAGGACCTTACGGCGTTGTACGAGGCCATCCCGTACGCGGTGAGGTGAGTCAGCCCGCCCACCCACACGCAGCCAGGAATGCATGACACGCTGTCTGCGTCGGGTGTGTGTGGGGGGTGACATTGCACAACTAACTGCATGGCGACGATGCCCTCATGGCGATGCATTGCTTGCATGTCTCTCTCTA